ATGCTCTGTATACAATCATATATTTTTATATTTATAGATTCGCTGTGTATAGTATATAATATATATAACATACGAAATTGTGTTTTTGAATAATCTTTGTTTTGAAATAGATAGGAGATACCTACAACAAAATAGGGACTAGGTATAATCGTTATTTTTTATTAAAATATCTAATTTCGTCAACATTTAATTTTTGTATCTACATTGTTTTGATAAAATTTGTACAAATATAATTTTAGTATAATAATAATAATAATAAAACAACAACAAAACAAAACTTGGTTACTGACGATGGTAATATTTTTTACAAATCACTGATCAGGTGAACAAAAACTGTATAATACTATATAATTTACAAGTGACCTAACCTGTATGCTAAGATCCGAWTGGTATGGTGGTTGTTGGCGGAAACTRTTGGTGACCTGGTGATTTTGGATGGTGGAGGAATAGAGGATACTTATGGAAATTGGAGATTGACTTGGACGCCGTTAAGAAGGTACCACCAAGCGGCCACCACATATTATTTACTACCAAAATTAGGGTTTGAAGTATTATTATCATAAGTATAATGCATTTTACTGACGAAAATTTGACAAAAATGTCTACACTGATTACATAGGTGTATATAATTTAATTTTAACGTAATTCATTACAATGGTCATTAATGGCCCATTAATATTAAATAACTAACAAAATGATTTTGTATATTGAAATTATTGAAATTGTTTACAGACTGTAAAATTGTTATCATAATATTGTATATAATTTTTCTGTAATATTCTTATGTTTTCAGAAAGCTAACAATACTTTTCAAAATAAATAAAAAATTGAGTAACAACCATAATATTACATATCTAATTTATGGTTGAGATTTACTTACTAAACATTTTAAACTAATTTGGGCAATTTAAGGAAGATTTAGGTAATAGTAAATTCATATAACCCTACGCAGGGGGATTACCTATCACGGTGTTATACTTCTCTTAGCAACCTTGGGTAATAAAATACAGCTAGAAATAATGTAGTATGTTATAAATTGTTTTACATATTTCGTTAAAAAACAATATAATATTGCCCGGCTTTGATAATCAAAACACGTACATTACTGCAATGTTCAATATTCTTATTAGTACTGAATATCCGAACGAAAGTAGTAAGTAARTTAWAGCTTCAACGAAAAYAGCGACCGATGAATATCAAACATATTTTGGAGACATAATATTATAATTTATTATATTACTAAATTCATATATAATTTATAAATAACACGAACAAACGTAACAAGTACAAACGACCGGAACTGGAGCTACATATTGCATTTTCAGAAGGAGTGTTCCGCCGCCTGATTTAATAAATAATATTTATATAGATACAATTATATAAAAAGATGGTACAAATTTCCTTGTAGRCAWCATATTTATGAGTTAATTTTCAGGTCTATTTTTGAACTTAAAATAGCACAAGTTACATCAGATGAAGATG